TTTATATTAAATATATAATATACTCGTAAACTCTCTCACATATAATACTTACTGTTTGCGAGTCTCTCTCTCTCTCTCTGCTATATTAAATCCCGCAAAACCCAGCCCTCAGTTAATTAATATCAATGCAAATACATTACAAACATTTACAACAAAACAGTATATATTTGTTAGGGAAAGAGATTGCAAAATATTCATCAGTTTTAATGATTGGAGAGAAAATGTTATATTTATTTTTTATTTAATTAATGAAATAGCATCGATAATCTACAACATAACAAACTATATATTAAAATATATAAATGGTAAGCATACAAAAAAATATGAGTTCCCAATAGAGACGTTCCTATTGAATGAGATAAGAATCAAGTCATGGCCAGAATATTCTTAAACATTTGGATTTATATATGTTTTTATATATACATGTTAATAGATAGCATAGATTTTGATGTGAATTTATATTTGAGTTCGCAAATGAAAAATAACATATTTTTAGTTACAAAATACTTTTCGCAAGTATTTTTAATTATTATTATATCAAACATAATAATAATTTACTCGTAAGGCTAAGGAATTGTGTTTTAAATTAATGTCTTTAGATAATATTAATATTAATAATACATTTCAATTATAAACGCAAAACTCATTTATTATTTATTAAAATTTTTATAATGATACTAATTCTTGTAGTATTGTTTGCAAATATTAATACAATATTTTTTGCGCACATATTTGTGCGGATTTTTTTGGTAATTAAAATTTTTCTCACATTTCATTGAATTTTTTTATACTTCGCTGATAAATATTCAGAAAATTAAATTATATTATAGTTTAAACGCTATTTTTATTTTTTGTTATTTCACTTTTCGTATGGGACTTTCAATCATTAAATATATAATATCTGGAAGTTTTTGCATTGATTTTTAAAAATCTGTGGGAAATATAATTTGCAATATTTATTTTGAAAGTAAATATATTTCCACATACTTTATCACTTTTAATTTTAATTATTATTTTGATATATACAAATGATTTAATATGCGAATATAAATGAATAAGCAATATAACTTATTTTTCCGGTACTCAATAATTTTATATCGTAATTAAAATATTAATTATATTTGTCGAAAACAAAAAATAATATGTTTTTATAACTGAATTATTAAATAAATTAGTCACGAATATCATAAAACTACTAAACTACTAGCTAACTACTAGTTTCATAGTGGACTATTATGAATATTTATGAAAATACATTCAAAAACAGTAATTTTCAAACAAGGTGTGAAATTAAAACTTTAAATATTTCACTCAAAATTCGTGATTAAAACCATTTAATAGACTTTTGAAGGCATTGAATAGCATTCAAATATACGTCACTTTCAATTAAATTAAATGAGAAGCGAAACAAAATAAATAAAACTTTTAATAACTTTTGTTTGCTATAAGTTTTTCATGTTACTTTCGTTTCAATTGTATGATTAAAACAATTTATAACTATTTTTTCAAACATGAATATTCTGTGTATAGTAAGATCTATTATAAACTACCATAATATATTATTATATACTACAATGATAATAATAACCTTGTTGCTAAATAATTCTGAGTATTCTTATGCTATAAAAAGGGCCCAAAAATATACGTAACAAATGCTGCAAAAGTAGGACAAGGCTTGAGGTAACGGGTACTCCATTCCCTTCATAATATCTAACCCTTTAGTATATAGCGTATGGACTGTCCTTGCGGTGCACTGGTAGACAAAAACTGGTTAAAAACTAATGCAAAACTAATTATTTCACTAAATTATAAGACTTTTATTTTTATTATAATAGAAAGTATTCTCTCATAACTTAATCCTCTTTTTTTGCTATTTGTTTGATAACTGTTTTGATGTCCTGTATGTGTGAGACTCCCGTTCCCCTTTCACCAGTAAAGGTGCTAATGGTATATAAGATTATTGGTGGCATTTTTTATTTTATCAGGTACACATTCCGATTCTGCAATTTATTGTCACATATTTTTAAGTGTTTTTTGGTGATAACATAGGAATATAAATAAAAATGTGTTTTGAAATGACAAAAACTTCAAAAATTATTGCCAATAGATTATAGTTATTGAATATCTATATGTAAATGCAATTTTTAAT